TCTACCTTTCAACTCAGATTTGTTCTCGTTTGGCCTTTGCAGTCTCCAGCAAATTGGATACGCGTTAGCAAAAGCCATTTGGTGGAAGTGCAGCAGGTGTGACTTTCAGCTGCCCACGCACAGGATCATATCATAGCAGAGGAAGGTTAAAGTCTTTCCTGAGGTGGCTGTGGTGAGATCACACTGAGATTATATATAAAATTACACAGGGAAAATTAATTTAAATCAGAGGCTTAAATAGCTGCTCTTTAGTAAGTTAAATAGTTTTGGCTTATATTTGTAATTGCCAGTTATTTTTCTACTGAACGACTGATTCTGTCTGTTAAAATTTGATAGCAGTTCTTGCTAACCAAGAGAAAACACATCCTGTAGTTTTTTACTGTCACAGAAAAGACAGATATTGCAGCTCTTGTTTACTAGGCAAACAACTTATGATTTAGGCCAACGTGCAGCATCTATCAAAATGTTGCTTAATTAACTGCTGGGGCTTTCAGTAACTATAATTAGGCATGTTAGAATAACATAAAGAAATATTACTTTTTGTATGCTTTGCATAAAAAACTACTTTATTCGTTGGGCAAGGGAGCTACTACTTGGAATTAATTGGTGATTTGAATTGGTTGGTCCTGTCACTGTCCTCCAAGATCTTGTAGCTGGAGTGTCCCCTCACCCTGCAGGATCTTTATTTGTAGGTGGAAGAGGTGCACGTTTCTTTCCTGCCTTTCAGCTCTCGGGGGACTTTTAACTTCTTGCAGAATTAGACGAGTCTGCCAAAGCTGAAAGGGAAGATTGGAGCAGCTGCTGCTCCCTTCAGAGCCCAGCTGAAAAGTGCTGTAGGGAGTGTGCAGTGCTTTTCCAGGGCGGAGGGGAAAGGTGCTGGTTAAATTGGTTTATTTCAGGCAATTTGCCCTTCCCTGATCTTCGTTTCGTGCGCTGTCTAATGGCATGGGAGTAAAATGATTTGCTTTGCTTTAAACTGTTTGCTTCCTGTTGCTGCAACTGATGTGCTGCCTGTGATAGATCTTTCAGGAGCCGAAGAAAGCCAACCAGGTGGAGCAGGTGCTGGTGGAATACACCAAGTGCATAAAGGTAAGCTGAGGGGGCAGGCTGGTGGCAGTGTGGCACCCCAGCTGCGGGTGGGAGCGCTGCTGGAGAGGGCAATGCAGCTTTTAACAAGGCGAGAGGGCTCCAGCCCGGGTGAGGGAGTGTTTCTGCAGCACAGAGGTCTTCCCTACACTGGTGGATGAGAAGCTGGACATGAGCAGGCAGTGTGCAGCTGCAGCCCAGAAGGCCAATTGCATCCTGGGCTGCATCAAAAGATGCATTGCCAGCAGGTCCAGAGAGGTGATTCTGCCATTTTACTCTGCTCTGGTGAGACCTCACCTGGAGTATTGTGTGCAGGTCTGGAGCCCTCAATATAAGAAGGACATGGACCTGATGGAGAGGGTCCGGAGGAGGGCCACAAGGATGATCTGGGGGATGGAGCACCTCTGCTACGAGGACAGGCTGAGGGAGCTGGGGTTGTTCAGCCTGGAGAAGAGGCGGCTCCGGGGAGACCTAATTGCAGCCTTCCAGTACCTGAAGGGAGCCCAGAGGAAGGCTGGGGAGAGCCTGTTTAGAAAGGCCTGCAGTGACAGGACAAGGGGCAATGGCTTCAAGCTGGAGGGGAACACATTTAGACTGGACATTAGGAGAGGGTTCTTCACTGTGAGGGTGGTGGAGCACTGGAACAGGTTGCCCAGGGAGGTGGTTGAGGCCCCTTCCCTGGAGATATTCAAGGAGAGGCTCGACGAGGCCCTGGGCAACCTGGTCTAGTTGGGGGTGTTCCTGCTGACTGCGGGGGGGTCGGACTAGATGACCTTTGGAGGTCCCTTCTGGCCTGGGCAATTCTATGATTCTATGGTTTAAGCTGGTGGTCCCTCTCCTGCAGCGCTGCAGCCAGGCAGGAGGACAGATGACGGGGGCCCTGCTGCTTTCTGTCGTTGGAGGCAAAATGAGCGAAGGGATCAACTTCTCTGATGACCTGGGAAGGTGAGGCAACTAACTGCCCTGTGGAAGGTGAGCGCTGGGCTTGGTGGTGCGGTGACTCCAGGCACGATAGACACGTCAGTACTTGTGTAGATAGAAAATCCTGGGGAGCACGTGGGTTGGGCTGATGCTTAAACCAAGGGGAGCAAGGCTGCTGGGCAGTGCTGTAGGTGTGAGTAATGCAGTTGGGCTCACTGTGCCAGATAATCCCTTCTTCTGGCACCCGGAATCCCTCTGCAGCTCTCCGGTCAGAACGTGCTTGTCAGACCGCTCTGCTTTATTGCCGCCTTTGGTTTTCAGGGCTGGCTCTCTTTCAGGGGTGCAGTGACCTCTAATTTATCAGCCTGTTGGCAAAGCGCTCCAGGATGAGACATTAAGAATAATGCAGTCCTCCCTTGCCCCTTGCAGGTGTGTGATTATGGTGGGAATGCCTTACCCCAACATTAAATCTCCAGAGCTCCAGGAAAAAATGACTTGGCTTGACAAAACAATGGTAACAGAGACACTTACACCTCTGCCTCTTTCACTTTTTAGTATTGACTTTCCTCCCAGCACACAAGCCCCAGGGCTGCCTTCTTTTCAGACATTGGAATGGGCTGCCCAGAGAGGTGGTTGAGGCACCATCCCTGGAGGTGTTCAAAAGACGGGTTGATGTAGTGCTGGGAGGTCTGGGTTAGTGATGATGCTCCTTGTTTGTTGTGTGGGTGTCTATTTTTGTCAGTTAGGTTGACGGGTGGACAAGATGATCTCTAACCTAACCCTTCTAACCTAGAAGATTCTGTGATTCAAAGATATTTTTTTTTTCTTTTGAGCTTGCCCTTGTTTCCCAGAGTGCGTGGTACCGAGAGCACAGCCTTCTCCATGCTGCACGTGTACAGGTGCAGGGACAGGGAAGAAGCTCAGTGAAGGGAAACACCCCTGGGGTTTGCTGGAAACTCTGAGTTCCAAGGGGAGCAAGGTCTCTTCACCCCAGAGGAGGTGGCAGGGTGGTGGGGTCACTTCTCCTCTTGGCTCCCTTGTTCTTTCTCACTGCCCACTGGCGATGCTGCTCCTGGGCAGCTGGGGACAAGTTTTCTACCTTCAAGGGGGCCTTGGGCTGGCTCTTTGTGAATGGTCAACATAGTTTTCTGACTGCAGCCTTTCTTCTGTCCCTCCTTACTCTCAGCTTGGGATCTGCTTGGCCACCCACTCATTCTGCAGGGGTAAAAGCATTTGCCTCACTTTGTTATTAAGACTCTCTGGTTTGATTTACCTCATGCTCAGTCTTACCTACTTCTCTTTTCCAGCCCAGAGCTGCTGGCCAGGCACCTAGCAGAGTGCTGATTGAAAACCTGTGCATGAAGGCAGTAAACCAGTCGATAGGTAATTCATCCTTCCTAGGACAGGCTGGGGGACACGGAAATGCGACTGCACTGAAATAGGAGGGTGGGAAAAAGGACACATTACCAATCAGTCTAAGTACAGATAATGGGAACACGACCTTCCTTGCCTGAGAACAAACACTTGAGTGGGCCATTTTAATGTGGTTGTACACTCTGTACAGGCAGAGCCATTCGCCATCAGAAGGACTTTGCAAGCATCCTGCTCCTGGACCACAGGTACGCACGCCCTGCCATCTTTAACAAACTGCCACAGTGGATCAGGGAGAGAACCCAGGTGAAACCTGCCTTTGGATCAGCCTTTGCAGAGTTAAGGAAGGTCAGAACTTTTCTTTTATGTACTGCTACCAGAACGGTTTCCTACTGTACTCACCTGTGCTTTTCTCAAACCATCACTTTAGAGTTAAGGCCAGAGGCAAACTGTCTGGTTTTGTGTGTTCCTAGTTCCATCGAGGGAAGTCGGATGCTTTGTGATGTGGACCAGAGGACAGGCTGGAGGTCAGCTCTGTGAGCTACACCTCTGAAGAACTCCTGAAGCAACACAAAGTCCTGCTTTTCTCTACCAAGGAGTTCGTGAATCTCCACCTTCTGCCTCCTTTGTGGATGTTTGCTGTCCTTTGTGGATGTTTGCTGTTCAGTATCTGAGCGCTACGATGGTGAGACAGCCTTCAGCACCAAAACCAGGAGGCAAACTGGTTGTAGGTCTGAGGTGAGGTAGTAGCAGTAGGCTCCCATTTGTTTACAGCTGTTAAGGTTTTATTTAAATTGAATAAATATATTCAACACTAAAGACTTAAGTATGGGCAGTATAATTATTTTGACTAAACAAATCTGCCTTTTCCCGTCCATGACCGAGTGCAGGGGGCTTGATGACCAATGACACCGTGGAGCTTTTCACAAGAAGTGTAAAGTATCAAGCTATTGGTTTGTGTTGTGTTGGAATTCCAGAGTCAGACTGGTAAAACACCAGGCAGTTAGGATAATGCTTCTTAACCCCTTCTTTCTACCTTGCTTCAAGCAGGTGATAGATTCAAAGAGCGGTTTGTTCTTTCAAGGGGAATAAAGATATGGTCACAATACAGCACAGCACTTCTCCTTTGATCATGCCTAAGCACAGGATTGCTCTGATCTTTTTACTGCCTAGGTTTTTGAATTCAAAGTAACTTTCTGTAGAAAATGGTAACCTTCCTGGGGTGCTTTCCTAGGTCACAGGTCGGTGGTGGAGGGCAGGGATAACAACAGGGATGGCTATGTCATCCCCCAGCTCTTTCTGTCATCCTGAGCAAGTCTATTCTCAGGAGCTTCTTTTGCCTCCTTGCCAGTTTCAGCAGCTGGATGCTACCTCTCAAGGCTCTTCACAATGAAGAAAGCACTTCCAATTACACACAGAGCTGGTACCCACTCCCTATATGTTAATTAGCCCCACAGGAAAAGAAGCAGCTGATTCTGAGAAACTTCCTTGATGAGTCTCCTGCTCCTTCAGAGACACAAACCCCACCCTCTGGCACAATCTCTGCCTTCACCCCACTGAGAGTGGGAGTGGGGGACACCTGGGCTTGCCCTTAAGACACATAATTGAGCACAACTTCCTGCTTATACCAAAGCAAAGGCTGCAAGGACCTGCTTCCTGCAAATTTATTGACTTTTTTTCCAGACAGCAATAGGCAAAGAATTACCGTAAGCCAGGGAGAGAAAGAAACCATCAAGTGCAGAGGCACCAGGAATTAAACCCCCAGGAAGAGACACACACACTCTCCTTCTCTCTTCTAGTGACAACCAAGCAAACAGGAGCTTCAGCAAGCAATGAGCACGGAGACAAATGAGGCAAGGGCTGTGTGCCTGCGAGAGATGCTTTTGCAGTCATCACCAGTCACATTAGGAAAGACTGAGGGCCTTTTAAATCAGGAGCAACACTAGTTCTGATCCTCTGAGCACACCCTGCCCCGCTGCCCGCCAGCTAAGGCAGGATTTATTGTGCCAGCGTGAGCAGCAGCACTGGAGATGGAATGTAGTATTTGGGGTGAAAAACAGCAGACAAACTCCTTACTGCTAACTATAAGCTCCTCTTGCTCCTGCTCTTCTCCAAAAAGATACAGTGGTGTCCCACTGCCTCCCTCCAGGAGGGACTTCTACAGGCTAGTGTCTCTCAAAGGTGCTTAGAGTTCAAGAGTCCTGGGATTCACACTGACACTCAACTGACCCCCGTCTAGGACTCCCAGTCATCCTCATCCTCCTCCCCTGCAGGCTGCTGTGGGGGTGGGAGGGGTGGTATTGAGTCCGACATACGAGCAAAGGCACCAGCAGGACTTCCAGGAGCATCGGGATTTCCAGAGGCTCCCGGCCCTTTCCCTGAAATACCTGTGAGGGAAGAAAAATCACCAGTAAGTGACACCTGGGGAGTAGAGAACACGGAGGCTCAGCAAAGGGGTGGAGACAACCCACAGCATCCAGGTGACCCAGGCAAGTAGGTTAATACCTTTAAACCCTGCCACAACCCTTTGTGAGGGGTCATTTAACTAAAGCTCCACCTGAGCAAGCCCATGCCCTCCTGTGCCAGGTGTGAGGGGGTGACACTGGCCCTAAATGCACTGGGTACCTGCCACAACCTCGAGGCAACTCAGGTGCCCCCGTGGGCAAGGAGCCCAACTGCCCCAGCACCGAATCAGAAAGGACAGGGGCTGTCCCTTCTCCAGAGGTAGCTTTCAGAGCCTGTCTTCTGCCTCAGACACACAACCTCTTGTGGTGCCTCCAGCTGGACTTGAGGTGGAGATTCCTCTGCTCACCCTCTGTAAGGACACACGTGCTGGGGAAAAGCCTCTCTGTGTCTCTAGGGCCGTGGCTGACACAAGGGAGGTGCCAGGAAGGGCTCTCTCTCTCTTTCCCAGGGGACAGGAGCTTCCCACCCTGCGGGACGGTACCTTTGCGCCTCAGCACCAGTTTGTTGAAGAGGTCTGACATCAAATCACCACCTTGTCCCGTAGCTCGCACTGAAAAAGAGCAAAACAAGTCAGAGAAGAAGCATCATCAGTCTGAACCCACCACTACGGCGAAAGCATTCTCCTGCAACACTGCCTTCACATTAAAGGGAAAAAAATACCAAATAAAACCCTTTCTAATGTTGTGTCACACCCCTAATCTTTCCCACTATAGTCCAGTTTCAGGTGTACACGAACTGCCCTTCTGGCAGGTGGGGTTTAGCAGCTTCACAGAGCTTTGGCTGAGTGTGAACCACCCAAGACCTACGCCAGCCCGTGAGGAGAGACACCGTTCTGTTCTGGACGTTCACTGTCTTCCTGGCTCGTCCACCTCCCCCCAGACCCACACTTTCCCACCCTGGAGCAGACAGCAAGGGAGATCCCTTCTGCTAAAAAGCCTCAGCACCTTGTTCTTGTTCCTTTTGCTTCTTCTTCTCCAGCTTCCTCTCCTTGACGCTGCGGAGGTTGGCCTTCCCAATGCCACCGGCCTGGCGGATGGACTCCAGGAGACTGGCACGCCCAGTAGAGGGGTTCACCACCTCCTTTGGGGCTCCCTGGACCGAAGCTGCAGGGACAAGGAAGGACAGGCAGAAGCCACAGGTCAATGCAGCACCTACAGGCCCAGACAAATCCCCATGGAAAGGGCTGCTCCTATAGCTCCACCAGCTTCTGCTCAGGGCTGTGAGCCAGGCCCAGACACCTCTCAGTGATGGGCTGACACTCAGCCCAGCCAGCAGCATCCCTGCCAAGGGGAAACCCAAAGGCTTGCAGCTCCCAGGCAGGTGGGAGCAGCTTCCCCTCCCACCACAGTTTCCCTCCTCTGCTGGAAGGCCGGGAAGCCCCAGAGAACCAACCAAGGACATGGTTCTGCTGGAGAGCTGGGCAAAGAAAAACCTAATAAACTTCAACAAGGGCAAGTGTAGGGTGCTGCACCTGGGGAGAAATAACCCCCTGCACCAGTACGGGCTGGGGGCTGACCTGCTGGAGAGCAGCTCTGAGGAGAAAGACCTGGGAGTCCTGGTGGACAACAGGATGACCATGAGCCATCAATGTGCTCTTGTGGCCAAGAAGGCCAACGGCATCCTGGGGGGCATCAAGAAAAGCGTGGCCAGCAGGTCGAGGGAGGTCATCCTGCCCCTCTGCTCTGCCCTGGTGAGGCCCCATCTGGAGCACTCTGTCCAGTTCTGGGCCCCCCAGTTCAAGAAGGACAGGGAACTGCTGGAGAGGGTACAGCAAAGGGCCACAAAGATGATGAGGGGCCTGGAGCATCTCCCTTATGAGGAGAGGCTGAGGGACTTGGGTCTTTTTAGTCTTGAGAAGACTTAGGAGGGATCTAATCAATGCCTATAAATACTTAAAGGGAGGGTGTCAAGAGGATGGGGCTGGTCTTTTTTCAGTGGTGCCCAGTGACAGGACAAGAGGAACGGGGCACAAACTTGAGCATAAGAAGTTCCACCTCAACGTGAGGACGAACTTCTTTACTGTGAGAGTAGTAGAGCACTGGAACAAGCTGCCCAGAGAGATGGTGGAGTCTCCTTCTCTGGAGACATTCAAAACCTGCCTGGACACGTTCCTGTGCAACCTGCTCTAGGTAGACCTGCTCTGGCGGGGGGGTTGGACTAGATGATCTCCAGAGGTCCCTTCCAACCCCATATGATTCTATGACATGGGCTGAAGCCAAAGAGTCAGATTCTGCTGGTGAAGCTGTGGAGATGCCCAGCCCTTACCTGCAGGCACTGCATGGCTGCTCTCCTCGCTCGCTGTCCGGGCTGGCTCCGAGGGGGCTGTGGCCTGGGGCAGGGGTGGCGGAGGAGGCACAGTAGTTGGCATAACAGGAGGCGGTGGAGGAGGCGGCGGTGGAGGAGGCGGCGGTAGCTCAGCACCTTGAAGGTCTGAAAGATGAAAGAAGTTGCATCTGAAGAGTCCCAGAGGACAGCACACTGAGAGCTTCAGCTCAGAGCTTCGTGTGCCTCAGCAGCAACAGATCAGTCTCCTCAGCACACACTGTGCAGCACAACGCTCCCACCCCGTGCAGCATCTCTTAGGAGCAGGCAGAGCAGAGGCAGGGTTTGAGATTCCCCTACCCCCTCCTCCTGCCTCGCTTGCCCAAGGACATCCCACCAGGCTGCCAGGAGGCCAGTCCCTGCACCCGTTCCCTCCTCCCTAGCCATGCCTGGAGCCTGGCCAGCCCTTGAGCGGGTTGCAGCTTTGACTCAGGCCCAAGCACAAGCCAGAGGTATCTCCAACGTCCACCTTGACATCTCCACCAAGGGACTTTCTGCTTTGTCTCCACCTTCTAGCAATCAATCACTGCCTTCCCCCTTCAGAGGGTCCCGGGGGCGGGGACTGGAAATACCTGGTTGCAGAGGCTCTGCTGACTCAGTGTTGAAGGTGGGCAGCTCCGGAATGGCGCTGCTCGGGGCGGACGGAGCGATGCCGGGGCCCAGGTCAGCACTGTACATGAGATCTGCAGCGATGCCAGGCAGGTCTGGCAGGTAGGATGGCACATCTATCTCGGGGACCTGGCCCAGATCCGGCACGTAGAAGTAATTTTCAGCCACCTAAAAGAAACCCAAACCAAAAAGATAAGGCAGTGACTATGCACTTGCTTTCTCTTACAGGGAACAGCCTGAGCAGCAGTCACAGCTGGGCTTGTCTGCCTTGGAGCAGTGGCCTCTCATCAGCTACCCCTGCAACTCTCTGCTCTTGTCCTGTGGCAACTCCCTCTGCGGAGGCTATCTCCTGCAGACCAGACTTGGAAAACACAGGAGGAGGGAGAGGTGCAGGACTCTTCCTAGTTTCTTGCAAGTCAACTCTCTGCTCCTCTGAAGGTTTCATGCACCAGCTTTCCATCCGACATCCATCTCCTCCAGAAGAGAATGATGCCAGAACCTTATCTGAGATTAAGATTCAGGAGCAGCAAAACCAAGTGGTTACAGAGGTTTGGTTTTGTGTTTAACACACAGGGAAAACAGTACCGAAGGTGCACTGTAAATCACAGAATCACAGAATCTTAGTGGTTGGAAGGGACCTCCGAGATCATCGAGTCCAACCACAAAAAAAACCCAAACCAAAAAAAACAAAAAAAAAACCCCAAAACACACAACCACCACAAAAACAACAAACCCAAAACCACCACCCACCAACTAAACCCCACACCCACAACCCCACATACTACACCCCACCACAAACCTATAATCTAAAGGGTTTTGTTTACTATAGACACTGCTGTCTCCTCCAGTCCAACAGGATGAACAAATGATTCCCAAGCTCCTTTTCCCAGCCCCAAACCACAGAGGGGCAGTGCCCCTTCCCAGCAGGAACGATGGGGATCACGCCTCCTCCCAGGCACTTTCTAGCAGTGGTACCTCACCCTCAGACTCCTCACAAGGCTCGGGAGTTAGCACAAAGGAGATGCAAAAAAAAATATAAAATAATCAAGTGATGGAGCCTCCAAACTCCTCTACAGCCCTGAGGTCCATCAGCAAGGTGAATCGGTATCACATTACTCTTCCCACACCACTCAGCAAAGACGTGAGCAGAGAGAAACACTTGCCAAATTTGAGGGTTTTCGTCTCACCCATCAGGCTCACACCAGGAATTCAAGCACAAAAATGGACAAAGTCACAGACCACCCACCCCCTAAACACACAGCAACAACAACCAAACCAAAACCATCTCCCACCCACACAACATCCCACCACAAACCAATAATCTTGGGCACTAGAGCATGCCCTGAAGAGCCATGTCTACACGTTTCTTAAATATCTCCAGGGATGGTGACTCCACCACCTCCCTGGGCAGTCCATTCCAATGCCTGACAACCCTTTCAGTAAAGAGATGTTTCCTAATATCCAACCTGAACTTCCCCTGGCGCAACTTGAAGTCCTCCTGATAAGTGAGATGCTCCGCAGCCCCATGTGGGGCCATTCTCCTACCTGCTCTCCTACAGAAGCCCTCTACCCTCAGAGAGCTGAACACAATCCTCAGAAGGGGAACCAGCTGCATCCCCACAGCTACGTCTCACCTGTCGGTCCAGCTGTCCCCTTTCAGTGATGGAGAGAGGAGCATCAAAGAGCTTCTCTTCTGTCTCTGTTTCCAGAGCCACATGGGTCTTGGTCACTGCTCCAGCCAGAGGATCCAGGAAAACATACTTCTTGTACCTAAGGGTAGAGGACAAGTATTTCAGTGATGATGCCTCGAGCGCCAAGGCCAGAAGAAACAGCATACCCAAGAAAGCCTTGGAGGAGACCCCCTGACTCACTCAGGTGGAACACATTGGGCTTTCCAGTTTCCATCTTTTAGCCCCATTTTCCTGCCTCCACCCCTCCACAACCAGGAGGCAATCAGCTCCTCACCCTCCCAGCATAGCCTCCGTGTTCCTCCAAAAGCAAAGCCCCACTGCATTGCCTTCATCATCAAGCTCTCCCCTTCCCACCACCTGGCCTGAAACCATCCTACAGGCTGCATTAGAACACCAGTACCTCCTGGTGACTTGTCACTCAAGGAAAGACAAAGAGGGGAAATAATCTATGGCTCGGGAGAAGAAAGGGGAGGTCCAGCAGCTGAAAGCTCAAGAAGTGCTTAAAGAAGCTCTTCAGTGTAACAGAAGGGGGAACCATGAGGCAAAGCCCAATGGGAAAGGGAACTGCAGTGAGGGAGGCAGTGGAGACACAAAAGCAGTGAGGAATCATGAGGAGAAGGAGCAGTACCTAGGCTGGCATATGGGGCAGAGAAGGGCAGGAGTGACAGCAGCTCTCAAGGCTGGAGAGGAATTACAGGGGGATGACAGGAAAAACTAAGGGAAGGGAAGTGCAAAATGTCATTGAAAGCAGGTAAATGGAAGATCAGGTGCAGACAAGACAACTCCTTCCACCTAAGGGGAAGAATGGGGAAGAAAGGGTTGCTAGCTGGAAGCCAACAGAGAGGTACCAAACCCTGTCCCATCAGGAGTCTGGTATGCAAGACACCCAGGAAAGCAAGCGGTTATTGCTGCCCTGGGGAAGGGAAAGCTCCTCTGAGGACAAGCAGGGGCAGGTGAGCTCTCACAAGTTCTCAGTGGTATTGAAGAGCAGCAGTGAGCTGAGGGAGCTGATGTTCCTGGGGAGGCTGCCAAGGCCTTCTTCTGCGTCATCCTCCTGGTGAACTTTGGTGCTCACACACACAGGGAAGTACTTGAGCTTCTCCTGCAAGAAGACAGATAACAGGTGGTAAGACGCTAACATCAAAGCTGCTGAGACAGCTCTCCCCAGCCACCACGACCCACACTGCTGGATCCACTGCATGGTCTGGGAACCCTACTCCTCCCTCTCCACCTCCCTGTGAGCAAGGAAGCACAGGGACCACATTGCAACCCCACACTCATGACAAATCTCAGCAGCTCAGGCTTATGGCATGGGCTTTTGGGTCACACTGAACAGGTGGTGCTGTGGCAAGGATCCACCAAAATAAAACAACCACTTGGGCTCTACAGCCAGAGACAGGGATCAAGCACCAGAATCTAAAAGGCACTTGTCACGGTGTCTCCAACTACCAGACATTTTCATGCAGGCAGAGTCCCCCAAACACCTCTATTACCTCCCCTCTGCTGCCTTCAGCTGATGTTTTAAGAGATTTGATCCCACCGGTGGGGTGGGAAGGCAAAGGAAAACGAGGTTAGGAGAAAAGAGAGTGCCTGCACTAGGCAAGAGATCAGGCAGAAGGCAGCGCGCAGGGTGGAACGTGTGCCAGATGGTTTTGCAAAGCCTAAGGGATTTGCAGGAGTTTTCAACTCTAATGAACTGAAATCTCCTCTCTCTCGGTTCTAAAACTTCATGCATAATAAATAGAGCTCCCTTTAGAAAAGGACTTATTACATCTGAACTGCTTGACTTTTATAGAGCACAGGAATTGCCATCCCAGATCAGACCAGTGCTCCAGCCAGCGTGACAGCGCCCGCTGCCAGATGCTCTGGGGGATGAAGCTCAGTGCCCACAGCAAGCTTTGCTGTAGAGGGAGGAGATCCTGAACCCAGAGACAGCCCGGGATGGACAAACCTCCACCCCAGACCCCTCCCCACGTCTTTCCTCAGCCCCTTCACAGCTCCTGTTCCTCCTTCACAAACTAGGACAAGCAGCAGCCTGGCAGCTGTGGGGTGGTAAGCGTTCATACCAGAAGAAACCAGAGCACTAACCAGGACAGGTTGTCAGATTAAATAATTGGCCACGCTCCTGAGGTTTACTTCTGTCACCAGAAGATGACCAAACAAGCCACTCCAAATACCGTCCGCAGCTTCCTACCGCCTCACTACTTCCAGCATCCCTGCCCTATCCCACCCTCCCAGTCCTTCTTCCCTTTTTTTTAGTTGTATGATGGAAATAGAGACCATCACATTCAGTTTTAAGACCACATCTCAGCGATATAAGCGGTTTCTGCTGATTGAAATTTCAGTCTTGAATTTGGTAGCCAGAAATCCTGGGAAATGGCTTAGTCACAGCTCAGTTAATCCACTCAGAGTTTGTATGATGCTCTGAGTCTATGAAATGCTGTAAAAAAGGACCTGGGAGGTTTTGATTTAATATTTCCCCCCCCAAATAACACATTCCAACTTGTGAAAAATATACTGAAACATATTGAATTTTTACAGAAGCAAGAAGGCAAAAACATATAAATTGTTATTTAGAGACTGTAAAAGCAGAGATTCAAAAATAAAGGTTCTTTTGATCATTAATATTCATTTCTCAATGTTTAATTTTTTAAGCATGAGGGAGTACTGATGTTTTTGCTAGAACTGTTCACACACAGTTAGCCCTCAAGTCATATATATATATTTTTAATTCTCTCTTTGTAGATTTCAATTAGCACTGGAAGATTGTGCGTCACTTTAAGGGCGTAGTGAGAAACCAACCATTACCTACATTTACTTATAAGTCTCATCTAAGGAAGTTATAAAAGCACTAAGCATGAGTATTACTCTGAAACATGAGGCTTTACATAATCCTTTTAATTTAAATGCTACCAAAGTGCTGGTCTTATTCAAGGAGCTAGATCTGGTTTGCAATTTTAGAACAGCTACATGCTGTCAATAATATCCTGCAACCATGAATTCCACAAGTTAACATGCCACTTAAAAATTTAGTTTTCTCATGGGGACATTAAGGTCTTAAGCCAAAGGTTCAGCAGCCTTGACATACTGAAGTCATGGGGGACACCTGAAAGCTCAAGCACCCCAATGTGGGGTTTGGCACCTGGCAGGATCATGCCCTTAAGGATGCTGCATTTCCAGGCGTTTTCCTTCGTAAGAAAGAAGAAATAAAAATATATTAAAAATCTATCAAGTCACCCAGGTTCTTAAGTTTAATTAAGCACACACTATTACAAAAGGGAATTGGTGTGATATACCAGAAACTCCATTCCCCCCATAGCAATGGCATGCAGAGGCTAGCTGGAAAGGCACTTGAAGATGACCAAGTGCCAAAAAGCTGGTTCAGCCTCCCCGTGCCCATGGTGGACTCCAGGAGAGGCGTAATTCACAAGGACATACCATGTTACTGACATTTTTGAAGCCTTGCAAGGTTACTCCAGCCATGGACCATAACATTTTCTTGAACCTCTTCCCAAGCCCAGGCAGAGTATGTCTCCTACCTTATTTTCCAGCCTTCTGAGGGGCACTTGCAGCACCCAGACACAGGTCCCACTACACGGCCAGTGCCCAGCAACTAAAAGCCCCACAGGGCTGCAGCTCACTGCCGAATGCTACCTACCTGCTACCACAGCAACGTGCAAAGCAAGTGGCTTTGCAGGCTTACCCACAAGGACTCCTCAGTAAGTTTGCAGATGACACCAAACTAGGTGGGAGTGTTGATCTGCTTGAGGGTTGGAAGGCTCTCCAGAGGGATCTGGACAGGTTAGATCAATGGGCCAAGGCCAATGGGATGAGGTTTAATAAGGTCAAGTGCTGGGTCCTGCATTTTGGTCACAACCACCCCAGGCAATGCTATAGGCTTGGGGAAGAGTGGCTGGAAAGCTGCCCAGCAGAAAAGGACCTGGGGGTGTTGGTGGACAGCCGGCTTAACATGAGCCAGCAGTGTGCCCAGGTGGCCAAGAAGGCCAACGGCATGGCCAGCAGGAGTAGGGAAGTCATCATGCCTCTGTACTGGACACTGGTGAAGCCTCACCTCAAGTACCTGTGTTCAGTTCTGGGCCCCTCACTACAGGAAGGACATTGAGCTGCTGGGGCGTGTCCAGAGGAGAGCCACCAAGCTGGTGAGGGGTCTGGAGAACAGGGTCCTGTGAGGGGAGGCTGAGGGAACTGGGCATGTTTAGTTTGGAGAAGAGGAGGCTGAGGGGAGACCTCATTGCCCTCTACAACTACCTGAAAGGAGGGTGTAGAGAGGTGGGGGTTGGCCTCTTCTCCCAAGGGAATAAAGACAGGACCAGAGGAAATGGTCTGACGTTGTGGCAGAGGAGGTTTAGATTAGATACCAGGAAGAATTACTTTACTGGGAGAGTGGTCAGGCACTGGAACAGCCTGCCCAGGGAGGTGGTGGAGTCACCATCCCTGGAGGTATTTAAGAAATGTGTAGATGTGGGCACTTCAGGACATGCTCTAGTGCTCAAGATTGCTGGTTTGTGTCTGTTTGTGGGGCTTGTGGTTTTGTTTTTTGGCTTTTTTTTTTAATTTTGTGGTTGGACTCGATGATCTCAAAGATCCCTTCCAACCATGAAGATTCTGTGATTCTGTGACTCCATTTCTGGCACTCTTATCCACCAGTGCTTACCAGCCCAAACAGCGTCCTCTCAGCAGCTGAGTTTTCACTCCCTTGGGGTGCGGAGGGGGATAAAGGAGAATTTCCCAGGAGGGATGCATTTTCAAATGAACTGCAGAACCACGTGTATTTCTAACTCGGCTGCTTTCCCCACAGAGCACAAACCCCGGGCGCTGAGCAGAGGCTGCCACCACTTACCCTCAAACTGAAAAGAGCAGAGCTTGCTCTCCTGGTGGGGGGGTGCGTGTGTGTGTGTGTGTGTGTGTGAAGCCAGCAAAGGCCACTGCGACTGCTCCCAGCAAAGAGGCCCTCATTAGAAGTGAAAACAGGCAGCGAGCCTCTGCTGAAAGCCCTGAATAATTGAGGAGGGCATAAATGCAAACATTAGACTTCCCTCTGTCACATTTCATTACTGCAAAGCACGTCAGGCTCCGTGCTCGGCTACGGCCGACCAAAGCCTGTCCCCATGGAAGGTGGTCAGAGCTGGGCTGCGCTGAGCCCCACTCAACACACCAGCTGCTCCTGGGGCAGGCACCTCCATCGTCCATCAGCTGACAGCCCCTCGCCAGCACCACAGCATCCTCCTGCCCCATGGAAAAGCTGCAGGAGCCACCGTGTGCGTGAGCTTGGCACGTGTGACAAGACCAACTGCATGAGGCAGGGTCAGCAAAGGCAGAGAAAGATCAGCAACCCCAAGGGAGGATCAAAAGGTGGGTCACAGGAGGGGAGGAATAAATACAAACATCCCATGGGGCCTGCAAGAAAGTCACAGAATCACAGAATCGTAGTGGTTGGAAGGGACCTCAGAGATCATCGAGTCCAACCACAACAACAAAAAAAAAACCAACCAAAAAAACCAACCAAAAACACCACCTAAACACACAACAACAACAACCAAACCAAAACTATCACCCACCCACACAACATCCCACCACAAACCAATAATCTTGGGCACTAGAGCATGCCCTGAAGAGCCATGTCTACACGTTTCTTAAATACCTCCAGGGATGGTGACTCCACCACCTCCCTGGGCAGGCTGTTCCAGTGCCTGACAACCCTCCCAGTAAAGAAATGTTTCCTAATATCCAACCTGAACTTCCCCTGGCGCAACTTGAAGCCATTACCCCTTGTCCTATCGTCTGTAGCTTGGAAGAAGAGACCGACCCCCGCCTCTCTACACCCTCCTTTCAGGTACTTGTACAGAGCGATAAGGTCTCCCCTCAGTCTCCTCTTCCCCAGACTGAACAACCCCAGCTCCCTCAGTAAGACTTGTGCTCCAGACCCCTCACCAGCTTCGTTGCCCTTCTCTGGACCTGCTCCAGCACCTCAATGTCCCTCTTGTGGTAGGGGGCCCAAAACTGGACACAGTCCCTGTGGTGAAGGCAGCCTGGGTCGAGAAGGGCAGAAGATGGCAATGGTATGGAGACCACCTGGGACAGGGAAGAGGTGGCGTTGCAGGCAGATGGCAGGGGATGTGGGGAAGGGCACCCAAAGCCTACTGGAGCCAGCAGGCCAGCTGGGTGGGCATTTGATCTTTGCCGGACGCTGCTTTTTACCAACTGATGCTCTTCTTGATGTCCTCCCTGCACACTGGCACCAGCCCTTCAGGGTGGGAGAGCATCTCCCCTGCCCACTCACCACATACCTCTGCTCCCCCCCTCAAGCTCTGATGGGATGGGGGCCACCAAGCCGGACAGCACAACCATAACCAGCAACCCCTGGTCAGCCAGCAGCAGGTCCCACGCAGCTCTGCCCTGCCCTACTGCCAGGGCTGGAGGGAAGCATGAACCCTGTTTGAGTTTGCCAGCTGTCCATTCGGCCAGCAACCCTGCTTCCCCAGCCTGGCTGAAATATTCATCACTACCTCACTGCAGGAGGTCTCAACTCCATTAAAACTCAGGAAAGTTTATCGTGATAAATTATTCAGTGGCAGAGTTATTTTTGGGCCAAGGCACACAAGGATGAAGAAGGAAGTCTCGTTAGGGGTGGAGAGCAGGGAAGACAGGTTGACCCCTAACCTGCCAGGACGAGTATATCCACTACTCCTGGCACAGCCCATACACAGCAAATTTAAAACTTCAAACACAGCAACTCTTCCTCCCCTCCTTCCAAATCAGGGAGTCCCAAATTGTTGGAGACTCCTTTAGCAGCGTTTCCTGCCAAACCCACCACTTCTCAGACCTCCCTAAGAAGCCCCTCTGCACCTCAATCCACAGGCTAAAAGGAAACTCAGTACTGCAGGACCTCCTTCAACACGACCTGCAGACATCTGTGCTATGGACACACCTGGAAGCCCCAACTGTGCTGGGTACTTAGAGATTTGGACCCCCTCTGAACGTCTTGCAACCTACAACAGCTGAACACAAGACAAAGGAGAAGTAAAGTACAAAGGATGTAATGAAGCAAAATGATCTTCTCCTCCAAGATGTGAAACTCAGCTGGGAACCAGGGAGTTTCAATACTCAAGCATGACACTTTCCTGGGACAGAGAAATGCTCTAACAACTCCTTTGTCTCCTGACACACCAACAAGCACTTTTACCTTTCCCTTCTCACCGTTGCTTATACGAGAGCCTTCAGAAACTCTTTTTCAAACCATTTTGGCCCTGATTGCAGCTGCCTTGCTGTGCACAGCAGAAGCCTTAAGCCCAGGCAGCAGCACCCACAAGCACTGCTGCTGGAAACGGTGGCATTTCAGGAAATGGAACTGCTCTGCAGAGTTGGCAGCCAACAGCCACCCAGAGCACCCAACCACTGCGCCAAGTTCTTGTACTGACATGGCCCTCTCAAACCAGCAGCTCCACAACCTTCCCATCCTGACCTCAAACATTCCTGCCAACAGGCCAAGCTGAAAAGATGTTCTGCTCCCAGCCTACCTCCTAAAGCCCTGTTCTACTTCATCAAAGAGACTAGCAGCCTCCCAGCTTCTCTTTGCTTATTCATCTCAAGGTCTGTTCTCCTCCTTACCTGCAGAGCTTTCTCATCCAGCACTCGGTGTTTGCTTTGAATCTTGTGTCTTGGCCATTTCTGTTTAGCTGGATCTTCTGCACCAGCAAAAATTGAGCTGTACTCCTGCAGCCGTTCAGGGGCCGGATACTTGGCACTGGAAAATACCTGCGGAGAGACAAGAAAGGACTGAAGAATCCCAACAACTAGGTAATCCTATGCTATAGAAACACATGGAGCTGAGTAAGGCACATAATCTGTGCTGCCAGTGGGAATGGACAGCTTTGGAGTCAACAGGCTTGTATGGGTTATCTGCACACACCCAAACGTGCATGGGCTGTCACTTCAGTCAGCAGAAGTGCCAGAACTTCTCGCTTTATATAAGTACTAGGAGATTGTAGGTGACCACAGGCAGTAAGGGAATTTGAAACACTGTATTAAATGGAGGAAGAACAGGGAAAGAAGGGTTTTCACCAGTTTTACACAGCTCAACAAGATTAAGATGCACCAAGGACAAGCTCTCCAACAGCAGCTTTCATTCAAATAGCCAAGTGTCTGCAAGCCTGAAGTGAGGTGTTTAGCTCAGCTCAGCATACGCCTTTGCTCTTTCTCAGGGCAGAAACTTGTTTAGGCCTCATAAGACCAGGAGCTGTGTGGCTCACGGGTCTAAAAATCATCAATTGGCCAAGTCAGGAAGGGGATTCTCATCACAACCCTGCTCAGCAGCAAGGCACGGAGAGGTGAGTGGGCAGCAGCTGTGGCGGCTGAGCACCTTTTCTATTGCAGAGCTTACACCAGGAGTAAAGAGAGACAGAAGAAGGAAGGCCATGCAACCTTCACTGAAGTCACTACCTTTATAGCCTTCTTGCTGCCCTTTATCTTCTCAATCTTCGCTTGGGCGAGTGTGACCCTCTCACCGATTGCCTGAAGCTGTGCCCGGCTGGCCTCCACCCGCTGAGAGATCCTAGGAGGCAAACACCTTTCTTTAGATGAAGAATCCAGACCCAGAGATTTTTTTTTGGCAATAGCCAGTGCCCAGGCCCCCAGGGAAGGATGTGAATCTTGATGGACTGGATTGTTTCATTAGGCAAAATAGTGCTGGTTGAGATACACGTGTATCGGTCCCACTGAGAGCTTTATCACAGAATCACAGAATCTTCTAGGTTGGAAGGGACCTTAAAGATCATCTTGTCCAACCGTCAACCTAACTGACAAAAATAGACACCCACACAACAAACAAGAAGCATCACCATCACTAGACCATCCCTCCCAGTCCCACATCAACCTGTCTTTTGAACACCTCCAGGGATGGCGCCTCAACCACCTCCCTGGGCAGCCCATTCCAATGGCTGAGACCCCTTTCAGTGAAAAAAATCTTTCTTAATATCCAGCCTGAACCTCCCCTGGTGCAACTTGAGGCCATTTCCTCTCATCCTGTTGCCTGTGACTTGAGAGAAGAGACTGACCCCCACCTCTCTACACCCTCCTTTCAGGGAGTTGTAGAGAGCAATAAGTCTCCCCTCAGCCTCCTCTTCTCCAGGCTGAATAACCCCAGCTCCCTCAGCCTCTCCTCATAAGACTTGTGCTCCAGATCCCTCACCATCTTTGTTTTTATGTGCTACGAGGTGAAGGTAGGTCTAGTCCTTGACTCACAGCACAACGTTCCCACTGCTGGTTGAGGCACAGCACAGGAAGATGGAGAACTGGAGCATTTTCGTGACACCCGAGTGCCACAAGCCCTACGCCTCTCTGCAGGTACTACTGACAAGAAAGCCACAGCCAGTTATCAACTGCCAACACATTTTTAATAAGAATGACTTGTTAAAAATGAAAGGCAACATGTGCTAATTGAGCAGAGTTCAGGACTCACAAGGTTTATCCTGTCCTCTATTACACCAGCAGTCTTTTGCACGACTCCTTCCACGTTGCTTCGCAGCTTTGTGATTTGGTTTCCACGTCAGTTAAACAACATTAGGTCCTTGTTTGGGAGCGATAAAGCACGCCAACGTGCATAATTTTTGCATAACTAGATCAGCATCAAAATGCTGTGGGACTGAGGTGAGGAGCACTCGGTGGCAGCAGGGGATAGAGGTCACTGGTTAAGTACCTCTGCGTTCACCACGCGGGCACGCTCCTTTCCCAAAAGCTCACAGCAGCTGCCTATCAGGCAGGGGCACGACTGACGCTGCCAGCATGGCATGCACAGCCACCACCACGCTGCAGGAACTGCCACACAGGCTCAACCAGCAGCTAGGAGGGACACTGGGACCAGGCATCAGCTACAGGTAGCTCTGGAGTCACCTCCTCGGCGTACCTTCCTTCCCCATGCCCAACCCGCAGGTTCTCCCTATAGCCTCAAGCTCAACAGCTGAAAATTGTTCTGCATCTTCACCCCTCTAACAAGAACAACAAAGAATATTTTTATAGCTGTACAACCCATTAGGAGAGAGGGCACTCCACTCCTGCAATGTTTTGTAACAATGAGCTCCATCGGATCGTTCTGTGCCTGTAAAAATCAATCTCAAGCACTGTCTTTAAATTTCACCAGAAGTCTGTCTCTGCTTTTTAGTAGAGAGCTTCCACGCTTTTTTTTCCACTCTGTATAATTCCTTTTAGCAACAAATTTGACATCAGCAGTGATCCATGATTCCCATTTTCAAACTGTACCAAACCCGTCTTTTCAAGTATTTTCACTCTGTGCAGCACATTCCCTCTTACGGTACAGAAACGGACTGACTCCACTAAAGCCTCCCCCATAGCAGGTAGTGAAAAAACAGCAAGTACAAGCAGCCTATTCACCTTGTACCATCCTGAAAGACCCCCGCTTCTTTCCCTAAATAGCTTTAAGTGTTTCTGTTTGTTTACTGCCATGTTCCCCTCTTCTGGAGGCACGAAAAATCCTTCCTTGTGCATATGGCAGGAGAGCGCACAGCTTGTTTCTACTTTCTTCTTTTTCTAGCAGGAGATGAGCAAAACTGAACCTCATGAGATTCTCCCTCTCAGAATTATTCTCCATTTCCCCATCCTTTTATTTTAAATACAGCCTAACAGCTTGTATTTTGTACCAACACTACGTACAAATCTGTTCCTGAGTTTCTCCCCACCCCTCCCCTCTGTCTCAGCGGAGTAAGCCCACATCACTTATCCACTTGATCAGTTCTCAGAGTAGTTTCTGTTGTTCCTTTCAGCGTGCATTTCCTAGCACCTGTCTGCAGCAAAATTCATGTGTCATAGGGCTGTCCCATTGCCTTGCTTTGTTAAAGCGTGAGATGCCTCTGAGAGACCCAAGTCTTCCCTAACTGCTCTCCCCATCTCACAGTTCACCTTTTTTCTAGACATTTCAAATTGTATTGATTGACACTATTTGCAGCGCTGCTCCTGGGGGCATCTGACCATTTTTACTTTCCTTCAAAGCTGAAAAAAAACCTGGTCGTTTATTTCTGCTTTGCCTCTCTCCCTCAAATCAATGATGCAATTGACCCTCTTATGTTCTAGGAGAGTAAATCCTTCTCCTAGACCTCAACAAATCCTTCCTGAAGCTCCAAATAAAAGCAAGGTATCAATTGCCTTTTAGCCAGTACCCTACTGACTCCCAGACACAATTCTCAGGGGCTGACACGGCACATGTTTCTCTCCCAGAAGGAAACGTTAAGCAAAGTTATGCAAGCTTGGGCCTGGAAACCAGTAACCGTTCTCTTCCCTCCCACTCCATGAATGTGAGGGAGTCAAGTGAGGCACTCAAATGCTTCCCTCACTCCCTTTTCTGCCCCGCGTAATTCCCACTGCTTCACCAGGTATCACCTCTTCCTCTCCCTTCCCACGCTCGCTCTTTCGCTATCTAGACTCATAGAATCATTGAGGTTGGAAGAGACCCTTGGGATCATCGAGTCCAACCATCTACCCTACTCTACAAAGTCCTCCCCTACACCATATCCCTCAGTACCGCATCTAAACGTCCCTTAAACACGTCCAGGGATGGTGACTCCACCACCTCCCTGGGCAGCCTGTTCCAATGCCTGACCACTCTTTCTGTGAAAAATTCCTTCCTAATGTTCAGTCTAAACCTACCCTGTTGGAGCTTGAAGCCGTTCCCTCTTGTTCTGTCATTAATTACCTGTGAGAAGAGACCAGCACCAACCTCTCTACAGCGTCCTTTCAAGTTGTTGTAGAGAGTGATGAGATCTCCCCTCAGCCTCCTCTGAAGTTGTGAAGAAACAAAGGAGTTTTTGAGGAATTCTGGTTTTCCTTACCTTTCACCCTTAACCACTTCCACGTTTACCATTCACCCTCCAAGACAGCCGTTTTAAGAGAACAATGCCACAACTCCCTGTATGCCCCCACCAAAGATGTTGACTATTACAAAGTGCTTCTTGGTGCTAGATTGCTAACACCTCCCATGGCACATGGACAACACCAGGGGGAAGGACAGAAAGCAAAGCAGGAGCACCTCTCAGGCCACAGAGCTGCATACATCTTACTCTTTAAGATTTGCTGGAACCTCTCTTAAAAAAGAAGCACCCCTAAAAGCATCCCAGAGCATGGCTGGCAATTAACTGTGCCCTAGCTACAACAGTAATGGGGCATCCAGAAGGGAAAGAGGGAAGACATCTACAGCTTCATCCATCCCTTCTGCCCACCAAATATAACCGAGAGTGATTACATCCACCCATAGGACAGCACCAGGCAGACAGCCTGCTCCCAGCAGAAGCTGGGGAAGTTGTCCAGTGCCAGTTCAGATATTTCAAATCACGAATGGCTCTTCTCTGAGGCACCCTCTACTTTGTCCTGTGATCTCCTACTCTAGGATTTGCCAGGCCAAACCCCATTGACCTTAGGAGATATGCCAAAAACCTTCACCTGAGGTGGTACAGAGGCAGGCACACAACACAGAAGGAAGACACACCAGTCTACAGAATTAATTTATTTGTTGCTGAGCAAGTTAACATGAGAAAAAAAATTTAAACCCCCTCAATCCAACTAATCCAAATTCCATCACATGTACAGGCTCCTAAAAATGCATGACTGTTACGCACGTAGAGTCCAAGGTACAGTTGCATGTGTTAGTTCAAACAGACAATATACCACATTGATACTGAAAAAATATATGGAAAAAAATTCCTTCATGTTCAAGTGTCCTCCAGCAACTTTAGTATTTCTACTGCTGTAGAAACTGAACTTGCTCCCAGGAGTCAACTTGGTGTTTTTGTAAACAAAGGGAACAGGAAGGGATGGAGAGGGCTGTTGCCATGGATTTCAGGGGCAAAGCGTTTGAAGCAAGGTGGCATTCAGACCTCAACCTCCCTTTAAGAAGAGCGTTACTGAGCGGCGTTAGTTTGAAAGGCAACTGCAATCAGGACAGGAGGGCTAAGTGTTAATGAAAGAACTCATTACCACCCCTCAAAACCCTGTGCTCAGACAGCCCAAACCACCATCAGCATCTGAACCTACCCTGTGCCTCTCCTATTAGTCACTGCTGCGGTTCTTCGCTCTGGGTGCTCTCTTCTGCTTGAGAAAGCCCTTCAGTGAGATTCAATGTGACTGTGGAGCTGGAAAGAGGCAGGAGGCGTACGGCGCCATCCCCTCCCCTGGGGCAGGATGCATGCTTTTGGGACAAGCAAAAAGGGGGCCTTGCAGAAGAAAGGAGAATATATCACCTGCCTTCAAATCCCGGGCACCGAGCCAAACCAGCCTTCCCCTCCCAGGGCTTTTCTTCGGGGAAGTAATACATGTGGGCAGATTAAATCTATCTAGTGGATTATCTCTTAATCCATACAGACTTTTATTTTTGATCTAAGCAGATATTAAAGCCAATCTTTCAGCTGCTTTGATTCAAGCTTTCACATTCTCTTGTCCCTCCGAACTCTTTTTGCAGTCAAGTCCCCTGCGCCTCACCCCTAACTTAGACCCCCTTTTTCCTAAAGACCTCATCCTGCCACCTTGAGCTCTTATCTGTTTTAGAGGCAA